CCCCGCCCGCCCCTCACCTGGACCCGCCGCCACCGGGCACCGGCGGGGAAGGGGGTGGGGATCGCGGGGCGCGTTCCCCCACCGACCCTCTGCCGGGGCTGGGAGCGCCTTTGGGGCCGCGGCTCCGCTTCGGCCCGGCGGGGGTGCGGGGCGGGGAGCGGGGGTGCCCGACGGCCGCTTCGCCCGGCGCCGGGATCCCGGCGGCGGCTTCCCGCCCTGTGCCCTCACCTGCCAGGTAGGGGCAATCGGACACGCAGGAAAAAAACCTCCTCGGCGGGACGGAGCCGAGTGGGGATGCCCGTGCCCGGCTCCGCGGAGCGGCCCTCCGGCGAGGCCCGGCGTGCGGAGAGCGGCACCGGGCAGCCCCGCGCTCCCCGCCGCAGCCGGGTCCCCGCAGGAGCGGGGCGGGGGGCAGCCCCGGCCGGAGCCCCCCGCCCATTCCTGGCCGTTCCGGGGCGGGGGGCGGCCACGGGCTCTCCCCCTGGACACGCGGGGCTCCCGCATTCACCGACAGGCGCGCAGCTTCAGGGAACAGAGAGGCGCGGATGCGCTGTGCCGAAGGAAGGGGTTTATCGCCTGGAAAAGTGTTTACCGGTCCCTCCCTGATCGTCGTCATTTCACATACAAAACAGATTTAAAAAAAAAATTAAAAATAGGATTTGAAACCCTTTAAACAAAACCAAAAAAAAAAAAAAAAAAAAAAAAAAGGAGAGACAAAGCGTTTTCCAGGGGCGAACGGAGCGGGGTTTGCAGAGAGTGGGCTGATGTTTGGCTTTCAAATTCACTTATCCTCCACATAATTACGATTTTCCTTGCATTAGGATTAAAGGCTGCATATAATATGCTTTCAACATTTATCTTATTAATTCGACAAAACGCAGCGTCTCCTAAAAGGGAGATTCTCATAACATTAAAAATATGGGAGTCCGTAAAAATTTGGATGTCAATTCCTGCTTCAACCAAAAAAAATTTTTTTTTTTTTTTCCTTTTCCTGTTTCCTTTTTTTTTTTTTTTTTTTTTTTTTTTCCGCCAGTGCTGCAGCTCTCGCTGTAAAGATATAAATTGTCCGAATGACTGTCATTAGTGGAGGGAAAGAAAACCTACGCGCTAATTTTATTCGCGAGAATTTTAAGGGACACCACGGCACACATACGATCTCGAAATCGCTTCGGCGTGACCCAAGCCACCGAAATTCCCTGGGACTGGAAAGCACCGCGGAGGAATTTCCGAGCTTTTATCCAGCCTCTGATGCCTCTCTAAAAGGGGATCCCAGGGAACAGCGTCCTTCGACCCGCAGAACGGCTTTGGGACGGACGCGGGCTCTTTCTTTCGGAGTTTCTGCTGGGGGTGCGCCCACCGCAAACCCCGCAAAGCCCGGCGGCGCTCTCCCGGCCTCCTGGAAATGCCTCACCGGGATTTTTGGAGGACGCGGGGCAGGTGCGCCGGGCCCGATCGGGTCCCCGCCGCGCTGCCGGCGAGCGCGGTGTCACCCAGCGGGGCCGTGCGATCGCTGCCCGCACGCTCCTATCTCGGTACATCCATCTCTTTTCTATTCGCTTATTTTTCCAGAAAATCTCTTGCGGAGAGCTAGGGCCAACCCGGGCTGAGGAGTCCGGGCCGTTTTCCCAGGGACCCCCGCAGCCGGCAAACCCCCGGCACTCCCCGCCCTCCAAAAGCACAGCCCCTGCTCTGCCGAGCCCCTCTCGACGGCACAGCGCGGCACGACCAGCTCCCGGGCAAGGGGAAGCCCCAGGAGCAGCGGAGAAGCCCGGGAGCTGAGCTCAGAAGGGGCTGGGCTGCCAAATCCCCACAGAAGGGAGCCCGGGGGGCGGCTCAGGGCGGGGACCTGGTGGGGATTCAGGTGGCGGGAGGGATGGATCCGTGGATGCTCGGGCACCGCTAGCCACAGTGATAACCTCTTCTGCCCGCGGTGAGTCCGTGTGGGGATGGCTGCGGGGGACAGAGCACCTGCTCCCAGGAGTGCCAGTCTTCTCTTTCCTCCCTGACCTTCATGCAGGAAGGGGAGAGGAGAGGGACCAGGAAAGGCTGCTCAGCCTGTGCTCAGAAACATTCCTGCATCCTTTGGGAAACACTGCCCGAGTCGAGCCACGCGCCAGGCCCACGGGTGTGTGGTTTCTCCTGTGAGGAGGAACATACCCAGCTGAGAGTCAGCTCCCAGGTGACTGCAATAAAATCACTCATAAAATAAAATCACCGGGAGAACACACGAGTTCCCAGCCACACTCGCTCCTGTGGGGCCAGGGCACCGTGGGGAGGGGGCACGAAGGGATGCTCTAAACTGCCTTGCTACCCTCTCTGCCTCAGGGGCAGCTGTGGTCCCCGGGAGGCGCACACCAGGTGGAATGGAAAATCCTCTTAAAACGAAATGTGGAGCCACAAGCTTTCCTGGTGCCTGGAGAAATGCAGCCAGAACGGTTCCCTTCCCTGGAGACAGACAGGCCTCTGTAGTGGAAATAAATCAGGGCCCCAGCTGAATGACTGAAACCATCCTTTCTGCTTGTCACCAGGCTCGTGGATGGCACCTTTCCTGGGGAAGCCCTGTGCTGGGGTGCCAGAGACATCCCATCACACTGCAGAGCCCGCTGGGAGTCCTCAGACCCACAACCAGAGGAATGTTTGCCTACCTCCAGGTCCTTGCCAGGTCCTAGGCACACCACCAGTGTTCTGTCTTGTTTCCAGCCCAGCTCCCAAACACACCCGGGGTGCCTGTCCTTTCCTATTGTCTCTGACCCTTCAGCCCCACCTCACCGATGCTGGACTCCCGGGTCAGGTCACTGCCGTGCCGCAAAACCACAAATCCCTAAAATGGGCTAGCTATCAGCTTTAGCTGTGGTTCACCCCAAGGAGCAAAGGCTCCTGCTCCCCAGGAAGCTGACATACCTTCCCTACCGGCTTTCTTATGGTTCAGACACACCACAGGCACCTCGGCTCTTTCCTCATCCCTGATGGTGCCCAAACTCCCCCTCTGCTTTCTTCCGAGCAAACACAGAGTCTGATTAGAAATATTAATTTGCATATTCACCAAAGGGTCACGGGAATTTTTTTTATTACCTAGACCACCGACCATAATACAGGTGGCTGGTTAAACGGTTCATACGTAGCCCCCTATCACTGCTGACTTTCTATTTCAGAATTATTTTTCTCAGGCTTTCTGCTTCTCCTCCTTACTTGGCCTGACAGCAGCATCAAGGTGTAAAACCTGGAAAGCTTTCACCTAGCTTCACCTTCCTTCAAACGTTTAACAGCCTGACAGAAGACATGATTGGCTACGAAGGACAGAAAAGGGAGAGAAATGGAAGAAGGGGAATCCCTGCAGGACTGAAAACTGCCTCTGCCTCCTGTACACCCCCGGGCCTTTCTGTCCCTGTGTGCCACCAGCAGTGTCCCACGCTGGGACCAGTGCTGGGCTCCATCTCCTCAGGAGACCCGAGCTCGGAGCGGTGGGCTGCGTGTCTCTTTGGTGGCCACACGAGCTCTCTGCTCTCGGGTCCGTGAGGACGTCGCTCACAGCTCCCCACCGGACCCTGGGTGGCCGCTGGGTTACGCGTGGCCGAGCTTTGGCAGGAGCTGACTGCCCAGCTCATATTCCCTCGGGTGGATAATCCTCGTGCAGGGATGGCCTCTCCCCTCCTGGTGGTGCCTGGGGGGCTCTGAAGGCCTTGGCCTCTCCAGCGAGTGACAGTCCCCAAAGTTAGCAAGGGTTTCCTAAAGCCTGGCGCAGAGGGGGTGGGGAGAGCAGTGAAAGGACAGACAGACGGGGCGGGGGGGAGGGAAAAAATAAAGATGCAGAGGATTTCAGCTCCAGCTCTGCTGCAGCAACTTGACGTGGGGTGTGTGAAGGAGCCTGAAACTTAAAAAGATTTATTTTCTCTAGTCATAAATCTCATCCCGTTGTTCCTCTGACCAACCAAGCATGATAAAGTCCTTTTCCATAAAGTATTCAGTATTAAAGCCACAAAGCTCACCCAATCAGTAGCCATCTGCTTCTCCCATAACTGCTGCTCCAGAAGCAGGGAAAAGCAGCCAGAAGAGAAAGGGCACCACTGTTACGGCTCTGGGACAAATGAGGAGGCACTGAATAGCAGCCGAAACCTTTGGTTTGCCTTGTATATCTGTATCTATAGAGACAGAGGAAGAAAGGAAGCATTATATTGATACAACAATTGTAAAACAAAAAAAGGAAGAGGCATCTAAAGGGCAATACAGCGGGCATCAGAGGGCCCCGCGGGGAGGGATGCTCGCAGATTCATACAAACCTTTAATTGCTTTGCAATTGAAAGATAAAGAGGCCGAGCGAAAAAAAAGAAAAAAAAAAAAAAAAAAAAAAAAGAAACCGGAGAGAGTGGCAAAGCGACCCGCGTTACACCGTGCATCGGCGCCTGAGCTCCGGCAGCCAGCGAGCCGGAGCATTGCTGTTTGGGGTACGATATTCCCGGGAGCGACCCTCCATCCCGCTCCTCCCGGCCGCAGCCCGGCCACGCCGAACTTGGCTGGCAGCCGGCTGGGAGGGAACAACCCCCAGGCGCCCCCCCGGAGCTCCCCGCCATGCAGGACACGTCCCGCGGCCGCCCCGGCATTCCAGGCTGGCTCCCCGGAGGGTGTTTCGGGAGACCCCTCCTCGCCGCGCCGCTCCCGGGCGCGCAGAACAAGCCGGCGAGGATGTCGCCCCAAAAAAGAGGCGGGGAGGCGGGAGGGCGGCGGGCCGGAGAGGGGGTGCAGAAGGCTGGGGGGCTGCAGGAGCAGGGCGCGGCCCCCGCTCCTGCAGACAGCGGGTTAATGACCGAGGTGGGTCATGAACAGATTTACGTGCCCCGGGAGCCGGGGGT